AGATGAAACTCATGTGGATTCATCCTCAGATAGTGTAGATTCAAGTTTGTTCAAATTATGACCCCCAGGGCGTGGGTGGGGCCAAAATTGCTGATCAAAGTTTTATCTAAGAGAATATAGGAAGAATCGTGTGAAATTATCCTGAGGTAGTATAGATTCAAGTTTGTTTAAATCATGGCCCCCGGGGGTAAGATGGGGCCAAAATGGCCGAACAAAAATTAATTTTCATAGGAATATAAAGGGAAACCTTTTAAAATCTTCTTTTCAAGTACTTCAAAGCCATGATTAGTAATATTTATTAGGGGTGGAACGATACACAGGTCTTGCAATACGATACGTATCTCGATATATTAGCACGATACGATACCTATCTCGATATTATGATAAATCATAATAAAACTATTAAAAATAGTATTTTATTTCATTTTTTTGTCTTGACATTAACAATTTAAAACATGATGAATTATAAGACTATTCAAAAGAATTAGCATTTTATTTAATTTTTTTGTCTTGACATTAACTCAAAAAATTATTCTATTTCAAATCATGTGTGCTATGAAATTAATACTTGAAGTTCGTCAACTTCATTGACTAAAACTTTACAAAAACAATAGTACAGGACAATTGTACATATTACCAAATTTCTATTAATAAATTGTTTACAATTAGTTGTGTAGTTTATCAACGAACTATGTCTAAAAATTCATTTTAAAAAATCACATTTACATTATTATTAATTGCTGAAAATCTGTAGCCAAGTTGAGATTACAAAAAAAAAGTATGAATGGACTAACAATTAATACTATTAAATGTTCTGGAAACGATACTTTTCTGTGTATAACACACTTTGCACACTGAACTTTTCTTGTCCTATCTTCCGAGGCTGCTTAAAAGTGAAAACGTATTACCGCTAATCAATGGCTTATTAGTTTTAAAGTGTGTTTTCAATATCAACATCATCTCTTCGATTCGTACAGGCCGCCATTTTCAAGAACAGGAACTTTCATTTTCAAATTTTGGATAGGTTGTTCGTGTATCGTTTCGTATCGATATTTGAATGCTTGTATCGTAAACCGTACCTTAAAGGAAAATATCGATATGTATCGGTGTATCGGTATATTGTCTCACCCCTAATATTTATGTAGAATTATCCTGAGGTAGTGTAGATTCTAGTTCGTCCAAATCATGATATGTGGTTTTTCCTAGCTGATGTGCTCAGGTGAGCGCTGTGGCCCCTGGACCTCTTGTTTTTAAAATATGACCCAATGGTATCTTGGCAAAATGCCTGGTAAGGTACCCTAATTTTTTGTGAGGAAACTTGTTTAAGTACCTTTACTTAATGACAAATTCTTAGGAAAAATTATATTCTGTATGTTCTAGGAACGTGTCGTCAGACCTTAAAATAACTTTATGAGTGTTTCGCTTATTTTACATTTCTTTACTAGAGGCAACTCTTTTGACATTTCTATGTCAGTAAAACGAATAGCTTAAGTTTTTCAACTATAGTTGATACATGTAGTTTGTCCTGAATTAAAATTTCATTTGGAATAAAACCAAATTTCAGCTTAGCTTTTTAAACTTACATGTATTTAATTCTGTTTTTTCTTCCTTCCACACACATGCTATTATGACTATTCAGAAATGCATGTTATTACTGATTAGTTGACAAGATTCTTGTCATTTTTAAAAGTTAAAATCAATTGCAACAGTAGGGTATTATACATTTATTGCATAACAATGAGGGAAATATAAAGATTAATTATGTAGCTAACGAAATAATTCGGATATCTTTGATTGTTATAATATGTCCTTAATGAATCTTCAGAACGCTGTGACATATTTCCGCGGAGAAATTGTGTTCGCGTACATAGCGAAAATTAATTCCTCGCGGAAAAACGTACGTGTACAGTACTACCACAAATCTAAATTTTAGAATTTTAGAGTTCAATATCTTGATATCTTAATTGACGGGTCTTGGTAGATTTGCACACGAACAATAGTTTCATGCTTTAAATATAATTTCAGAGAAGACAAAGCTCTATTCCTTATATCTTTTTATCATATTCATTAAGGTGATACGCAAAATAGTCTGAACTGAACTTTTTTGGGTTCTTCCCTGGAGTTGAAAAGTTCCACTAAATGAAGGACCTGTGCACAATTTTTTTAATGTCTGTATATTGATTTGTACACGTATTCGCATACAATCTTTGATTTAAAAAAATCTGGAACTGATGATTTATAATTTTTGTATATTGTTATTTGAATAATGCCAAAAAAGTAAATATTCGATATCTTTTCAAAGCCCTTAGTAACGTATGCTGATTTTTTGTCGAAGAAAATGTAATGATTTTATAAGTTTAAATTTATAATATCTTGGAAAATTATCAGTAGGTAAGGTACGTTGTATATGTCCTTAAGATTGAGCACAGTTTTGAGAGGAAAATTACATAATGCTAAAATCGATTCCGATATATACAGATTAGGTAAAATAACACAAAGATAACAAACATATAACATTAAAATTTCATAAAGATGTCTTCACCCGTGCGGGGCACTTGTAAGGGTGTCTGGTCTAGAGTCGTGAAGTAAAGTGGTGGCGTCTCTATATGAGTGAAAAAAATCTCGAGAGGGTTGTTAAACAATATACAATCAATCATTGAGATGTCTGGTTAACACCGGTTTGGGACATATGAAAAAAACTCCTCAAACGTTAAGATTGTGATACAAAAGATGATATATCCAGAGTTGTAGAGCAGTTTCCTAAGTCAAAATACTCAGTAGCGATTTACAGCCCTTAAGGTATGTCTTTCATTCTTATCAAAGTTAAAAGGATAACAAATGAAATTATTACATACTTTGTAAGCTATAAATCCATCTCATGCTCCAAAGTCACAAGTATAATATATTTTTTTAAATAATATCGTTTATTATTATATTTGTAAATATCAATTATACATTTGTAAAGGAATTCTGCAGTATCAGCATTTTAGATTCTATACCAATCCTCCAGGATATGTATTTGTAAAAAGTCCAGCCGATTCAGAGGAAACCAAAGTCTTCCTTCTTAAGGTATACCTTGACTCAGATGACTAAAAATTCCACTGATAAGAACGAAAAACCACTTATTGCACATTATACAGCTATGATTCTTGTGTAAAATTTCAGTTTCAAATAACTAGGTCAATTATCTCGTTTCATGCTAGTGGCCCCTGTGTATTTCTCAGGAAACACCTCAATTTTTCACTCTATGACCGTTTTTTTTTCTTAACTCACAAGATATTACAAGCAACAAAACTCTTTAAATAATAAAATACTATATAGCAATAGAACAGAGTTGCTCCATGTAAAGAAATGAGTAGATTTCGGGCCATAAACGTGATAATTATTACAGTCCGAATTTCCTCTTCCCTATTTATATTTTTCCCCTATTTTAATCCAATATACAAATATCTGACTGATAGGAACTCTAAATTATTTACAGCCTCAAGTTGCTTTTGTTACGCTGCTCCTTGTCGTGATCGGAAAATAACAGAAACGGCTTCTTTTGACGAAAAACCATGAAATAACATTTAAAAACTATAACAATCCATCAGCCAAGATCATATATGAATCTTATCAATAAATTTATGTAAATTATTCCTTAATAAATAAGTGAAATAAAATTAGAATTTACAAATAATTTGTAAATAAACTTTGCTGCCTTGTTTCACCAAATAGCATTGTGACAATGTGACTTCAATCTAAACTGCTTGTATAAGAGATACAAGCCAGAAAGAAGCCTAATCAAATGGGTCTTACAGATCAATGAAGGGTTCAGCGTTTTTCCTGGCTCAGAAAGCCATTGAGTTGTGAGGAATCACCCAAGAAACCATTTATAATCAAACTTGCCACAAGACATCCTGTCAAAATGCGATTTGGTATAGCAAAGCAGCCAGGAATTAAACTTTTAGATTTTTTTATATATCCTCGGGCAGTAACAAATTTAGGAACAATCTAGAAATTCATTTGGAGGGTCTCAATTTTTAATGTTGAGGGTGTAAATTCTACCTTTATTTTCTCCATTTCAATTAAATACTGCTTTTTAAAACATTTTTCATTGAGGACAGATGATACAAACAAAAAATGAATGCCTGGGTTTGTATATATTTTTTGGTCTTATTTCGTTGAAAATGATGTAAAAATTAGATTTCTAGAATATAAAGAAATTGTAAACTTTCTATGATGTTCAAAAGTATGCCTCTCTGAAGCCATCCTTATTAATCCATACAAATATTTTCCACTTCAAATCCTTTTTTTTTTGAGAATTTGAATTAAAACTACGCGGTTAAACTTATTCATTTAAACATGACTCAAGTTGTTATTTTCATTATTTTGGTAAAAGTTTTGTTTGCATCATCTGTATTTAAGTTAAAACTTTCCTCATCCTGAAATCCACTTTTATTTACTTTTCTATATAAGATTAAATAGATGTCACTTTAGTTTATGCTACCATGTAACTTACACCTATATATGCTGTAAACATGAACAGCATGTAGATATGTGCTAAACATATAGCTTTTATCTGGTTACTAAGCTACTGCTGTAATTCATATCAGATTGTATAAGTAATTAATTACAAAGGTCCTTCATAAACCTCAGATCCCGTGGGGATCCGGGTTAGAATAGGTCCTCAGTACCCCCTTGCTTGTCGTAAAAGGCGGCTAAATGGGGCGGTCCTTCGGATGAGACCGTATAAACCGAGGCCCCGTGTCACAGCAGGTGTGGCACGATAAAGAACCCTCCCTGCTCAATGGCCCTAAGTGCCGAGCATAGGCCCAAATTTGCAGCCCTTCACCGGCAATGGTGACGTCTCCATATCAGTGAAATATTCTGGAGAGGGACGTTAAACAGTATACAATCAATCAATCAATCATAAACCTCAGAATTTTGTATGAATGCGTTCAACATAGATGTAACTTACTTGTCTAATTGCACACTGTGTCAGTAAAAAATGTGTAACATCATATATTTATTTTACTCTGATTTGTTATGCTTTGTAGATAGTCCTGCCTCTCTATGTATCTGTATACACGCACTTTCTTTTCCCCGCCGTATAATCCAACCCAAAGAAGATGAGATTTGTCGTCATAACTCAGGCCCATTGGTCCGTTTATCCCTTGTGGTCTTGTCAGTATCAGTGACAGAAAGTGACCGTCCCTGTCAATCATATGAATTGTGCTGGTGATAAAATCACACACCAAAATGTGTGACAGCGCGTCAGTACAGATTCCTTGTGGAAAAAGTCCTGATCCTGACGGAGGACCTGAGTAGGAGAAACGGGGTCTTCCTTCATAATCTGTCACCACTACAGCATGATGGCCAAGGTCAGACACAATAACATCTCCATTGTTGTTCTCTGTGATGTAGATAGGATCATAATACAGTTTCTGGCCTGTGTTTCCATGCTGTATTATCTGTTTGAGTTGTCCACTGCCATTATAGCGTGCTATTATGCCTTTTTTGTAGGACCATATACCGACCAGCAAATCGCCATTGAGGTGGGAGGAGTAGATGCACTTTGGTTCCCATTCTTCTGTTTTCTTTATCAGTGTAGTCTTTGTTCTATTATCTTGTGAGAGTTTGATAATGTTACCATCCCTGTCTATGTAAATAAGATCACCAGTAAGATTCACTGTGTGTTGTCCCCTCATGCTCATTACATTTGTCATATGTAGTATATCACCCTCTGAGTTTATCAAGATAATATTTTTACCATCATGATCACCGATCCAGACTCGGTCTGGTGTCACACAGGAAATATGACATATATCACCTGGTACTGTGACAGACCTGTGTAACACAGGGTTAGACATCAGTTTCAGCTGACTTTCCTTTTTCACTCGTCTTTTTCCCGTCTCTATGATTTGGATTTCACCCAGTAAATCAGTCACAGCCTCATTGTTTATATCTTCATTCAAGCAGACCAGGGCGTATTGTGTGAGACTAGGAGTGTCCTTAAACCCTTGTACAAGAGTTCTCTTTAGGAATATAAGGGATTCTAGTCTGTTTACCAAATGGTCAGATCTGTGTTCAAAGGTTTCTATACAGGCAAGATGTCTGATTATTTTCATCCTCTGCTGTTGTAAACTTTGAATAAATTGTTTGCATCTGATTTTAACATCACACATGACAGCGTCTATGACGTTACTTAGATATAGTTTCTGGGCTTTTATTAAAATTTTTGTCTGATTGTTGGAGATTTCTGTGTGACAAGTTTTTAGATCAGATCTGATTCCTGCCAAAAGACAACTGTTGTTATAGAGAGTCTCACTTCTGATGTTGTGAATGATTTCTTTATAATGCTGTCTGTTTGCTTTATATGCTACTCTTATATCCAGTATATTGTGATTTCTGTGTTCTTTACATTGAAAACAGACTGGAAGTTCACATGAGTGACAGAACATTTCATAGATTTTTTCTGGATGTCTCGCACAGATCTCTTGTTTTGGGATGTATTTAAACTTCTCCCGATAAATTATAACATCATGGTATATGGTATCGAGATTTATAACATGCTTCTCTTTACACTGTAGACATAGGTCATGTTTACACGTGTTACAGTAGAATTCTGTGCCCCACTGACATTGAGAACACTGTTTTACTTTACACTGGGTGCTGGATCCTAGAACATCCATGATTTTCAGTTATTATGTAGTTGTTATGTTCACAGTCAGCTGAAACTAAATAAATCAAATAAATGTATCAAACGCATATTTTATAACATTATAAAGCATATAAAAGTTTAAAAAGGAAAAGATGGACTTAACAACAAAACTTTATTTACGCAAACTTTTGAAATACTTGAAAAGTAATTTACACTGTGTATTTACAATATTTATATATGTCACCTTCAAGTTGCAAAACTATACATGTAATTTATTATGATTTTGTATGAGGGCAACATAAGTTTTGACGGACCAAAAAACTTGAAATGTTTTCCCGTAAGGCCGAAGTCAACAGTTTTAGTTAAATGTTCAGCAATTGCATTCTGTCCGAGACCTTTTTCAATAATTAAATTTCTTGTTAATATACTACACGGTATTTACTTTTTATTACGACGCATCTTCCGGGGACCTCCATACTCGCAATGTATTGGCAATGTGGATGACATATTGTTTATGATTCTGAAACTGTTGGATTCTTAAAGGTCATACGAAACAGTTCATAACACTAGGATTTTACTTTTTAAACATAAAGACTGATTTGAAAGAATGTTAAATTACGTTCGGTTATAAAATTGCTTTTGCTTTACAGAAAAAATGAAGACCTAAAGTTGTCCACTTGATAAATTCGTTACCCGCTTATCGTTCTTGATTTTGTGTTTGTATGACGTCAAAAAGACCCATAGATGTAAACAACGCATTAAATCTAGTGTAATTTTACTGTATTTTATTGAGTTAATTTTAGGTTTTTTTTGTGGATATAAATGTGATTTTGTTTAAGATGAGCTATCTGATTATAAAAAACAGTTTACTTCATTTGAACCTATCGTTAATTGGACAGAGTAATTGAAAGTGAGAGCTATTCATAGTATGATGATCCCGATGAAAACCCCGTTGAAATCAAGGTATTTCACCCCAACCAAGATTACATATACTTATTTAAAACTGATACCTTAGAAGCAACAATCTTCTTGTTTATATATATATATATATATATATATATACGTACATGAATATGATATACCGGTATGATGTACCCCCACATACGTAGATCGCTTAACACGAGAATTAGTAAAAATAGAAATAGGAGATCTATGGACACATCCTTAGGTAGTGTAGATTCAAGTTTGTTCAAATCATGACCTCTGAGGGTAGGACAGGGCCAAAATGGCCGACCAAAGTTTTACATGGAAATATATTGGAAAATTCTTTAATAATCTTCTTCTCAAGAATGGCAAAACCATAATAGATCATATTTTATGGAAGCATCCTTAGGTAGAATAGATTCAAGTTAGTTCAAATCATGACCCCGGGGGTAGGGCAGGGCCAAAATGGCCGACAAAGGTATATGGGAAAATTCTTTAAAAGTCTTCTTCTCAAGAATAGAAAAGCCATAATTGATCATATTTATATGAAAGCATCCTCAGGTAGTGTAGATTCAAGTTTAAATCATGAACCTCGGGGGTAGAGCGGGGCCAAAATGCCGACCAAAGTTTTACATAGAAATATATAGGAAAATTCTTTAAAAGTCTTCTTAAGAATGACAAAGCCATAATTGATCATATTTATATGGAAGCATCCTCAGGTAGTGTAGATTCAGATTTGTTCAAATCATGACCCCTGGGGTAGGGCGGGGCTAATCTTTAAAAATCTTAATAAGAATAACAAAGCCATAATTGATCATATTTATATGGAAGAATGCTTAGGTACATGTAGTGTACATTCAGGTTTTTTTTTCAAATCATGACCCCCGGGGATAGGGTGGGGCCAAAATGGCCGACCAAAGTTTTCCAAAATATATACAGGAATTTAAAAAAAAAATCTTTTTCTTAAGAATTGAAAAGCCATAACTGGTCATATTTATATGTAAGCGTCCTTAGGTTGTGTAGTTTCAAGTTTGTTCAAATCATGACCCTGGGGGTATGGCGGAGCTACAATGGCCAATAAAGTTTTACATAGACATATATAGCAAAACTCTTTTAAATTCATGTTCTAAAGAATACCAAAGCCATGATTGGTCATGGGACTACTTTTTAATTCAAAATTTTCAATGATAAACCAATTTCTACTTTTGTTGCTTGCAACAATGCTCAGGTGAGCGATGTGGCCCATGGGCCTCTTGTTTTGTATACGATAATGCATTTCCCTTATTAGCTCACCTGAGCCGAAGGCTCAAGTGAGCTTTTCTGATCACAGTTTGTCCAGCGTCCGTCCGTCCGTCTGTCTGTAAACTTTTCACTTCTTCTCAAGAACCACTGGGCCAATTTCAACCAAACTTACCACAAAGCATCCTTGGGTGAAGGGGATTCAAGTTACTTCAAATGAAGGGCCACGCCTTCATTCAAGGGGAGATAATTAAGAATTTGTGAAAATTTGATGGTATGTTTAAAAAAAAATTTCTTCTCAAGGACCACTGTGCCAGGAAAGATGAAACTTATGGAGAAACATCCTCAGGTAGTGTAGATTTAAGTTTGTTCAAATCATGATAGGGCGGGACCACAATGACCGACCAAAGTTTTATATAGAAATGCATAGGAAAACTCTTCAAAAATCTTCTTCTCAAGAAGATTCAAATTTGTTTAAATCATGACCCCCGGGGGTAGGGCAGGGCCACAATGGCCGACCAAAGTTTATTTAAGGAATCACTGTCTAGTTTTGAGAGTATGCCAGGGCATCAACAATAGCGGGAAACATGGGATAATTTGCATAACGGGAGAAGCCCGTTATGCTAAAATTATTCCATGTTTCCCACTATTGTTGATGTCCCTTGCATACTATACGACATGTAACTAGACAGTGATTCCTTATATTTCCAGTTTTACTTAAAATAACCATCTTAAAATAAATCGAAATACCGTCTAATTTAGTAGATTTTAAAATGCACGAGGCCCCATGACGTCAACTTTTACTATAAAAAATAGTCCCCCCAAAACACGAAACAAATTTATTGATAATTCAGTTACCATAGTCAAATATCAAAATTTATAAAATAAACTACAAAAGAATTTTAAACTATGATCAAACTAATCTTGTTAAACTTTAATTATATAAGTGACCTAGATTTAGTTTGTCGGAAGCACAGACACATGTGTAGACAAACGGTTCACTTCGCCGCCGCCATATTGAATGCAATGTTGCAGTTGATGAAACGGGAATTGGTCAGCATGGTCAGGAAACCGATTTGTATGGATGTTAAAAAAACAAAGGAAGTTTAGTTGCTTAAAGAATTTGGATGGTAATGGCTGAGGGACGATGTTTGTATCAAGGGATGGAGTACGTGTAGCCCCAGATAGCAAGACTACATCGGGCCAACGTTGGTCGATGGTTGGTAGGTTGGTATAGTGTTGGTGTTTGGCTGTTAATGTCGGTCCAACGTTAGACCAATAGATGATATGTTGGCATGAAAGCCGGTCTGTCGGTACTGGTTATGTGATATTGGGCCAATGTTGGCCCATTGTAGTAAATGTTGGCATGAAATGTGGCCACTATATATTGGGACTTCAGTGTTGGCCCAACGTTGGCCCGACCGAGTAGACGTTGGCATAAATTAAGACCATTGCGTGTTGGGATGTATAATGTTGGCCCATCTTAGGGCCAACCAAGTAATGTTGACATGAAACATGGCCAATGTGTGTTGGGCATGTAATTATCGGTCCAATGTTGGCCCAATGTAGTTAATGTTGGCATGAAATGTGGCCACTATATGTTGGGAATATAATGTTGGTCCAGCGTAGGTCCGACCGAGTAGATATTGGCACCATTAAATTAAAACCATTGCAACTGGAGATCCACAATTTTGGCCAAACATAGCGCCAACCAAGTAATGGTGACATGAAACATGGCAATGTGTGTTGGGCATGTAATCATATCTGTCCAATGTTGGCAAAATGAAGTAAATTTTGATTATCAAAGACCTATGTATATAATAAACAAATGCTACGTATTTAAGTTTAATGTTTTATTCGAGTTGGCAGGTATTGTCCACAGTGGTCTACACAACAGTGGGGCAGCCGGCAAAATGGCATACCCCCAACATCAACATAAGTTGTGCCCTCCCTGACGGGAAAAGTAGCACGCTGGGTTGACCTCATTCGTGCTACGGACACATTTCAACACAAATTATCTTTTATAATTATATTATTTTGATTTAGCTTTAAATTGTATAAGATATAATTTTCAAAGTCAACATCACATATATCAACATCAACCATCACATATATCAACATCAACCACAAAAAGTCAACAAAATCAACAGTTCAATGGTTAAATTGAAGGTGACGATTTCGCTACATGGGCACCGTAGGTGCCCACCGCCACCTGGTGGGGGTAGGCAACTTCAATTTAACCACCCACCATGGACTCCTAGCCTACTCAAAACCCTCAACAACCCATCCATCGTGAACATCACTCTCTCTCATTGCCAACCCACAGTAGAATTATCCTGCATTAAAATAACTTTGGTCTCCCTTCAGATTAATTGGGCCTACCCCCCCCCCCCCTGAATTTATATCTTTCCAAGTTTTTGCTTTGGGTCTTAGATTCCGTTATTAATATCCAGCTGGCAAGAGAGAACTGGATGTAAGAATGTAAGAAAATTATGTAGAAAATAAGTTTTATTTAGATTCCCCTTCCCCCTTTTTATTTATTTGTTTATAAATTTGAATTTTATTTCTTATTTATTTATTTTTTAGGTGATAAAATACTTTCAAGCAGAGATTAGAAACAAGATGAATGAGCACCTTTACTCTTTAACCCCCCCCCCCCCCCTCCCTTTCCCTTTCAGCATGATTATGCTGTTCCTGTATTGTTGACAATAATTTTAAGTGTTCACATGCCCAATTTGTAAACTGCAGAACATGTTTTGTGATATTTGGTAATGTATCTTGCCAGTTCTGAGGGAATGATGATATATACATGTACCACTTATTTTGAAAAGCAAACTCTTCAAAGGACCATTTAAAATTGATTAACAAACCAAGACACATAATGGAGGACTTTGTATTTAATGCCCATTTGTAAAT